CCCACCCGAAAAGTCAGGCCCTAAAAGCCAAACTCAGTTACCATCCGCAACCCCCGTGTTTTATTTCTCTCGCAGCATCCCTGAACAGTAGATATAGGTGTGTCTAAGCTTCTGTACGCATATAGGGGGGTGGTTTCTCAACTGTACGTTTACTCAGTACTGGATAGGAACGATCCTTAAACACGAACCAGAATATATCAGGCGATCTTCTGCCAAGGAGTTCGAAAGGGGCGCGAGAGGGTAGTTAGAAGGGATGACAGGGAATGAGTGTGTACGTATGGAAAGTGGGGAATATGCGGCCGAATCTAACAAGTCTCCGAAGCTCAAGGGTAGTTTGACACAAGCCAACCGTGGAGCACGTTCCTATCCTTCGCTCTAAATAGGGGCTGAAGCACGAATCAGCTTTTGTTTATCCAACAAGATAACTCGGCCAATTTCGTGGCACAAAGGGATTTCTGATTTGGCTGACTTTGCGATCCTCCTATAGTCAATGTGGATGACGGTCGATCTGGCAACGACCATCCGATTTGCATACCTCCCTGAAATAAACAATAGACCTCCGCAGTCCATTGCCGATACTGTAAAAGAATTTTTAGAAAAAATTCATTATCCCTGAAAGACTTTTTGTTCGTGGTCTATCGTTTGCCGTTCTTTTTTTTATTCTTCTACTTTTTTTTTTCAACTTCCTCTTGACTTGCTGCATCCGTTCCGCGTGATTCACAGTCGCCATGCTAATTTGCCATTTTGCAAATGGATTCCAGGAAGTCCCAGGTAAACTCCTGCTTCACGGGAACCCGTGACACAATCGAGCGCTCGATACTTTTTATATTCTTCAGCGGCCACTATATGGTTATAAATGTATATATATACAACCAACTAGGTAGCAAATATAATCAGTAAACTCAGTATGGTAAGCACAGCTAGCATAGCTGGTATAATCAGTATACAGCACATATAGGTTATGTTAGCCGTACAGCCAACCAAGGAAAGTACCTACCGCGGTCGTTATATGCAAATGGCCCTAAAACACAGTACTTGAGCGTTGCGTAGTCCGCAAGACGTGAGTTTTAAAAGGCGTGAATTTACCACCGCCGCTATGTAGTAAATTGTTCTGTATTGAAGGAGGAAGCGTCGCGACGCTATGAATGGTGATGGTATCCGTTGTGAATCTTTGTGTTGTGAAAACCTATAAAAAAGTATCTCCTTTGGTTTTTTCGTTG